CCAGGGGGAGGGGGTAGGGGGAGGGGTAAACCCCTCCCCGAAGGGGAAGAAGGGGGTTGGGGGATTGAGAACAGAGAAAGCTCGCTAAACCACTCACGCCCGAAGGGCTGGTGGGACTGGCATCGAATCGCCCCGTCACCCCTGGCAAACAGTACTACGCGCGCGCACTCTTTGTCCAAAAAGCAGTTGTTTCCAATAACCCACTGCACAAGAACAACGGGACGAAGAGCACACGCGCGCGTCCTTGCGCGCGCACGCCAAAATCTTTCAAAGACCTGAAGACCGGCAAGAATTTGACATGGTTTTGCAGCATGACTTGTCGGAAAAGGTCTGCGCGCGCTCTTGCAAATTCTCAAAACCATTGGTTTCAACATTGTCATCAGATGCGACCACACGGGCGTCGTGCGGGCGCATGCCGAAATCATTCGAACACCCTTGCGCACGTGCTGGGCTGGGGGGGGCGCGATCCACGTCAACAGAAAGCATTGCGGGCCACTCGCGCCCGCCGGCCGCGCGCGCATGTCGAAATCCTTCCGAAGCTTTCATCACCGACGCGTGGACACCATCAGCGCCATCGGCGTGATCAGCATCGGTGCCGTCATTGGCATTGCCGTAAACATCGTCATCGTCGTCACAACCATCGCCAGTAACATCATCGTGTCTGCCCTTGCCGACGCCGCCATGATCGCGCGCCCGCCCGAGCCACCATTTCGCACTGAAGTGCCCGCGCGTCGGCGCGGCCAGCGAGACGCGAACTCGTCGGTCGCGCCAGACCAGCGGGCGAGCCTGCGCGCGCTGGCGCGGCCACAGCGATGCGCCAGCCAGCACCACGCAGCAAACCGAGTTGCGGGTAGGTGGGTGGGATGATTTCGCGAGCAGTGAACTTGACAAATTCAGGTTCGGCAGGGTGTAATGCACCGTGTAGACTGTACCACATATGATGCATTACATGCACTGGGCCATGTCGACTGCACCACACATATTGCACCACAGCATTTGCAGAACAAGCGTTGCACCACACATATTCCACCATACGGTTGCGCCCCACATACATGGCACCACATATTTAGCACCACGCATATTGCACAACCTTGGTTGCAGAACGTATATCGCACTACATAAATTGCTACACAACGAGTGCACAACATATGTTGCACCGAATCTTCTGCACCACATATGTTGCGCAACATTCACTGCATCACATCGTTCCCTTTGTTCTTATAGACGAAGACCGACCGCACGCCCGAGGTCCGCACTGATCCCCCCCTGGGGATCTGCAGTTGTCATACGACGCTGCCCCATCGCTCCTTCTCAGCATGGGCTCGTATGATCCCAGCCAACCAGTTTCGACCCCCCCCCACCCAAACCCCATGCAACAAACACTAGGCCTGCACACTTCGTGCATCACAGATCATTATTTGTTGGGGCTTCTCAAGATCCGGCGTAGCAGATGGACGAATTGCATACACGCGCGTTGTCGCGCGCGAGTGCCGCAATTGTTCAAAACCCATGGGTCCCGTGAGGGAGCTCAACATTGAGCGCCCTAGCAACATAAATCACACACGGTTTGCAACATGATTGTTCAAACAATTATGCGGACGCGCTCCTGTGAGTTCGAAAAAAAAAGCGATTGGTTTTTCAACATGTTCATGCAATGCGACCATGCGTGCGTCTCGCGCGCGCATGTCGAAATCATGCGAACACCCTTGCGCACGTGCTGGGGGGGGCACGACCCTTGTCAAAAACACTATGCGGGTCACTCGCGCCCGCCGGCCGCGCGCGCATGTCCAAAAACTTTCCAAAGCCTTCATCAGCGACGCGAGGACACCATCATCGTCATCGGCGTGATGAGCATCGGCGCCGTCATTGGCCTTGCCGTCGTCATCGTCTTCGTCGCCACCAGCATCGCTAATGTCATCGTCGTGTCTGCCGCTCTGGGATGCCCCCGGCGGTCAGAGCCACCACGGCCGCGCCGGTCGCGCCAGACTAGCAGGCCACGCTGCGCGCGAGCTTGCGCGCGCTAGAGCAGCCGCAGCGAGGCGCCAGCCAGAGCGAAGCAGTCACCGCAATCGCGGCCGCACGGGTTTTGAAAACCAAATTGCGGTTGGGTGTGTGGGTTGATTGCTCGAAGGATGGAGCTGACAATTCATTGCGAACAAAATTTAATTGTGCCATTTGACTGCGCCACATAGAATGGACAAAATTGATTCTCTTTTTCTAAAAACAGAATAGGATCTACCCCCCCCCGGCGGCGTTATCGGTCCCCTTTTCGGGTATGTAAATCACATACGATTCTGACCACATGTCCATCGTAACTATGAATTTACAGTATCCCTGGGGGGCCGGGTTCCCCCCCTTGAAATTCCCTTGTGAAAAACAATATGCGGTGACATTTTTCGTTTTAACATGACATTATTTCGCGAATCCCTTGCAAAAAACGTGGCGAAGTGCACAGGCGCGCGTTGTCGCACGCGGATGCCGAAATCCTTAAAAAACCTTCGGTGCCGGAAGGATTTCGCAATCGACTTTCCAAAAAACATACCAAAACACAGGGTTTCGCAACACTTATTTGCTAAAAAAGCTTACGCGCGAGCTCCTGCGAACTGTTAAGAAAACCATTGGTTTTTTCAAGATGTTCACAAACTGCTACCAAACGGGCTTCTCGCGCGCGCGCATGTCGAAATCTGTCGAACGCCCTTGCGCGTGTGCCGTCGCGAGAATCCTCTGCAGACGCAATGCAGACGCGCGCGTCGTCGCGCGCGTATGCCGAAATCCTTCAGAACCCATCGGTTTCGGAAGGATTTTAAAATCGTGTGTCCAAAAAACCTACAAAAACACAAGGCTTCGCAACACGGATTTTCAACAGAAGCGTGCGCGCGCGCCCTTGCGTCGTCGTCGTCGTCGCCGTCCTCCCTCCTCCCGCGTCGTCGTCGTCGTCGCCTACGTCGTTCTCTGTCTTTCTTTGTGTTCGTCCTCGTCGTCCTCTTTGGCGTCGTGGTCGTTTCCGTCGTCGTTGTCGCCGTGGTCGTCCTTCCTCCTCCTCCTTCGTCGTCGTCGTCGTCGTCGTCGTCCGTCGTCGGCGCCTCGTCGTCGTCCCTCCTATTTCGTCGCCGTCGTCGTCGTCGTCGTCGTCGTCTTCCCTCCTCCCTCGTCGTTGTCGTCGTCGGCGTCGCCGTCCTCCCTCCTTCGTCGTTCGCGTCGTCGCCGTCCTCCCTCCTGCCTCGTCGTTGTCGTCGTTGTCGCCGTCGTCGTGCTCCCTCCTCGCTCGTCGTCGTCGTCGTCTTCGTTGGCGACGTCGTCGTCGGCGTCGACGTCGGCGTCGGCGTCGGCGTCGTCGTCGTCGTCGACGTCGGCGTCTTCGTCGTCGGCGTCGTCATTGTCGTCGTCGTTGTCGTCGTCGTCGGCGTCGGCGGCGTCATCGTCGTCGTCGTCGGTGTCGTCGTCGTCGTCGTCGTTGTCGTCGTTGTCGAAGTCGTCGGAGACGTCGTCGGAGTCGTCGTAGTCATCGTCGGCGTTGTCGTCGTCGTCGTCGGTGCCGGTGTCGTTGCCAAGTGCCATATGGAACCTACCGTCACGGGCTTAAGAGGTTTTGCAAACCAAGTTGCGGGTGGGTGGGTGGGATGTTTGCAAGAGCATGAGATGTGTCACGCCATGGGTAAACATCAATTGCACCACATAGGTTGCACCTCATAGATTGCACAGCAGATACTGCACCGCATAGATTGCACAACTTCGATTACACAACGTAGGTTCCACAACATAGACGGCACCACTTAACCTGCACAATGCATATCTCGTATCATATGGATTGTTGTACCGACATCACACAAGTTGCATAACGTAGATTGCATGACAAACATTGCACAACATGGATTGCACCACGTGGATTGCACCACGTGAACTGCTCCACACAGAGTGCACAACATCTCTTGCACCACGTACAGCACACAACTTGGATTGCACAACTTAGATTGCACAACATAGGTTGCATCAAACAGACGGCGCAATACTGATATCGCCACATGTATTGTTGCACCAATATTACACAACCTAAGTTGCCCAACGCCGACTGCAAAGCAACGGTTGCACATCATTGATTGCACCACGTAGGTTACCCCACGTAGATTGTCCCACGTAGATTGCACAAACACAGGATGCTAAACCCCCTTTTGCTGGGCCCACGCTGGCCAACAGTGTTTATTATGGGAGGTTCTCGACTTCGGCCTTTGGGGTATGTGTTCGAGCCCTGGGGCGATCAAAACCGGATCTGAGGCGAACAATTGCCGGGGGCACCCAAACGGCGTGATGACTACACCACGTGGTGAGTTAGTGGGGAATCGGGGTCACCGCACGGTTTTTGAACTCAGGTCGTTCGCCGATGACGTCTCGGGCGACAGGGGTGCGGTGACGGCCCGCGCAGCGAGTTTTCCTGGAATTTCGAGGTCACTGCACGGTCTGTTCACCGCACCGATTTTGGGGCCCCCGAGCGTGGCCCAGGGGCCCAGGGCTGCCATGACGGCTTGTTTGCTGGAGTGGGCTGATGTGCCTCCAGGGTATTTATCTCAAAGGCCGTGCGGTGACGGACCGCGCGGTGAGGTCGGTCGTCGGGGGCTCTGAGGTCACCGCGTGGTCCGTCGCCGTACGGTTCTGGCACCCCCGACCCTTCGGGAGGGGGCGGTGGCGCAGGCGGCCCCTTGCGGGTGGGCCGACGCCGCTGACAGCGTCGGACGACGCCGCCGACGCCGGATGACGATGCCGACGACGCCAGCCGACGCCGCCGCCGACGCCGACGCCGCCGCCGACGCCGAACGACGCGGTCCGTCACCACACGGTTTTCTTGGCATCGCTCGGACGTGTGCATTTTTCCTTCGGCGAGGACCATCGAGGAGCATCCTTGATCATTTGGCAGAAAAGCCACGCACGAAACCGGCAAAACACACAGGGAATGGACGTTCGAGCGATGCCAGGTTTTGGGGGCCCGAAGAGTGGCCCCCGGGGGAAGGCGGCGGCGGCCGCCAACGCGACGGGCGTGCGGGCGCTGGCCGCGCTGCGGCGTCCCGCCGGCGACGCGCAGGAGATGGGTCGGCTGGAGGCGCGGGGGTTCGTCATGGAGGATTACGATTGATGAATGACCGGGGGTCGTGTTCCCGCGGCGGCGCCCGGGGTGACGATTAGAAAATGCCGGCCGCGGGCTGGATTTTTTTTTTATCGTTCTCCTCCAGTCGGGAAAGTGTGCAGAAATCGCAGAAAACTATGTTTTAATCGTTCTCTCCCGTCCCGCATTACGGTGTTTCGTCCGCGGGCACAAGCCCAGAGCCCGTCGCGTTGTGAAAGAGTCACGGCGGGAGTTCTTCCATTGTTTGCGGCCTCTTGGGGGGCCCTTACCGGGCCTCCCGACCGTGAAGAAAAAAGATGCGGGATGGGAAACTGGACCCTGAGAGCGGGTCGAGACTTCTGGGGGTCGACGTCATGAGAAACTGATGTCGTCGGGGGTCGCGGAGCGGGCACGAGGCTGAGGCAGGTGCCGGTCGAGGCAATGGGCGGGACGCGCAGGGAGGAAATTGGGGCACGACGGGACGCGGGAGAAGAAGCAGGAGCCGGTCAGAGCGCGCAGTGCGTCACGGGCGTGCCGAAGAGGAGCAGCAAGCGCAGGGCGTCGGGGGTTCGTGCAGGGTGGGCGGGCATCGTCGGCGAGTGCGCGCTCTGGGCGACCCCTGGCGTGGACAGTCCAAGGGTTGCCCACGGCCGCACGCAGGGAGCTGTGTCCCAAGGCGGGCTCTGGGGGAGCAGGCCCAGCTGGACGCTCGCCATGTCCTCCTCCTGCACGGGCCGTGCTGGGCGGTTGTGCGCTGGCCCCGCCTTGCCGAAACGCGGGACGGGCGACCTCATCATCATCATCATCATCATCATCATCATCATCATCATCATCATCATCAGCATCATCATCACCATCATCATCATCATCATCACCATCATCATCATCATCATCAGCATCATCATCACCATCATCATCATCACCATCATCATCATCACCATCAGCATCAGCATCAGCATCATCATCACCATCATCATCATCACCATCAGCATCAGCATCAGCATCAGCATCATCATCATCATCATCATCATCATCGTCATCATCAGCAGCAGCATCATCATCATCATCACCATCATCATCACCATCATCATCATCATCAGCATCAGCAGCAGCAGCAGCAGCATCATCATCATCAGCATCATCATCATCATCATCATCAGCAGCAGCATCATCATCATCTGCGGTCGAGGGGCTCGGACGCGTGAGGAGTGGTGGGTGTGCTCGCCTGCGTCCCGCTCCCGCTCCCCACCTCCGCCCCTGCCCCCGGAGCGGCGTGCCCGCGCGTGCCCCCCCCCCCCGGGGCAGGCGGAGCTGGCGGAGGCGCAGCGCGCCGTGCGGGAGTTGGAGGCGTGGGGGCACGCGGAGGCGGGCGTCCAGGAGCCAGGGGACGCAGGGGAGGAGGCCGAGGAGGCCAGCGGGGAGAAGGCCGCGGAGGGGGGCGTCAAACAGCCAGAGGACGCGGGGGAGAAGTCCGAGGAGGCCACCGAGGAGAAGGCTGCGGATGAGGACGTCAAGCAGCCAGGGGACGCAGGGGAGAAGTCCGAGGAGGCCACCGAGGAGAAGGCCGCGGATGAAGACGCCAAAAAGCGAGTGGTCGCAGGGGAGAAATCCGAGGAGGCCACCGAGGAGAAGGCTGCGGATGAGGACGCCAAAAAGCCAGAGGACGCGGGGGAGAAGTCCGAGGAGGCCACCGAGGAGAAGGCTGCGGATGAGGACGTCAAGCAGCCAGAGGACGCGGGGGAGAAGTCCGAGGAGGCCACCGAGGAGAAGGCTGCGGATGAGGACGTCAAGCAGCCAGTGGTCGCAGGGGAGAAGGCAGAGGAGGCCACCGAGGAGAAGGCTGCGGATGAGGACGTCAAGCAGCCAGTTGTCGCAGAGGAGAAGCCTGAGGAGGCCACCGAGGAGGAGGCTGCGAACGAGGCCACCGAGCCGAAGGCTGCGGATGAGGCCGACGAGCTGCCGGCGGTTGCGGGGGAGAGCGCCGAGGAGGTCGCCGAGCAGAAGGTTGCGGATGAGGGCGTCAAGCAGCCAGTGGTCACGGAGGAGAGCCTCGAGGAGGCCACCGAGCCGAAGGTTGCGGATGGGGCCACCGAGCCGAAGGCTGCGGATGAGACCGAGGCCGCGGAGGAGAAGGCTGTAGATGCGGCCATCAAGCAGCTGGAGGCGGAGATGGTGGAAGCACAGCTGCCAGCGTCTGAGGGCGTTCAGCAGCCAGTGGTCGCGGAGGATAGGGCCGAAGACGTTACCGAGCAGAAGGCTGCAGAAGAGGACGTCAATCGGCCAGCGGTCGCAGGGGAAAAGTCCGAGGATGCAACCGAGCAGAAGTCTGCGGATGAGGCCGTCGAGGAGGCAGTGGTCGTGGAGAAGAAGGCCGAGGAGGCCACCGAGCAGGGGGCTGCGGATGAGGCAGGCGAGCAGCCAGTGACCGTGGAGCAGAAGGCCGAGGAGGCAACCGAGCAGGAGGCGGCGGCCGACGATGCGGAGAAGCAGGGGGTCGCACAGAAGACGATCGAGGAGGCCACCGAGCAGAGCAAGCCCCCCCAGGCTGTCGCTGTCGACGAAGACGCTGCCGCCAAGGCTCTGGAGGCGACCATCAGGGCTGCAGCAAAGGCGTTCGACGACGGGGCTGCATCACCGGAGGATGCAGAGGAGTCCAGGCAGTCCTCGTCCGGCGGCGGGAGCGCAGGTGACCCAGCGGAGGACATGCCACAATCCACGACGGCCGCCCAGACTGAGGTTCAGCCGCCGCAGGCTCCGACCGACAATGCGATGACACACGCCGACGCCAGCGAGCACGAGTCGCAGACGACGCCGATGCCGAGGACATACTCCGACGAGGGGCTCATGCCGGCTCTGCCAAAGCATACAGGTTGTTACGTGTGGTTGCCCACGGGGTGCCCATTGAGGAACCTCAGCGTGCGCAGCGAGTGGAAGAGGGATGTCTGGGGCGAGGAGCACAAGGATGCAAAGTCGAGCACGCTGGCGTGCAAGAGTCGCAAGTTCGTGTTTGACCACTGGTGCGGAGTGCACAACACCGTCGCGGTCCATGTGAACGCTCACGAGCAGGACGACGCGAGCAGCGCTCAGAACGAGCTTGCCGAATCCGATGCGTCGCCATCTGCGGGCGGCCCTGCGAGCCAGGAGGCTCAGCCCTCGGACACCGCGGACGGAGGCGCTGAGCAGGTGGATGAGCTCCAAGTCATCAGCGGGTACCCGTCGCGGCCCGGGTGCTACTTCCGCCAGCCCTCCAAGTGCCCTGCAAAGCCGATGTATTCGTCAATGTGGAGGCACGACACCTGGGCCGAGGAGCAATACCTCGACGAGGCGGGGTGCCAGGACCGCAAACGCTACTGGGACAAGTACTGCGAGGCCGAGGACACGAAGGTGGTGCACATCGGCAGCGAGGGCAGCACCCCCGCGGCCCACGTGCACGATCACGAGCAGGACGACGCGAGCAGCGCTCAGGACAGCGAGCAGGACGACGCGAGCAACGCTCACGATGCGGACGGCTTCGACCACAGCTCGACCACCGCGGGAGGAGGCGCTGAGCAGGCACTCTGGCTGTAAAGTGGCCGATCTGATTGGACAGAGGCCCACCTCTGTCGTAAGTCGGATGCAGCCAGGAGTCCGTGTAGAAACGCCAGTCAGGGATTGGGCCCCGAGGCCCCCCGAAGGGGCCGGAAACACTGAGCCAGGTCTGCCAGAGGAGGAGGAGGAGGAGGAGGAGGAGGAGGAGGAGGAGGAGGAGGAGGAGGAGGAGTGTTTCTTCGGGTGGCGGCAGTGCAGGTTAGAGGAACGAAGGCGGGGTGGCGCACCCTAGCTGTCCTGCTCTAACCTTAGGGGAAAGAGGGGGTTCGAGGCCACCAGTGACCACTAGTGATTTCTTGTCCCAGCGCCACTAAAGTGAAGCCACTAAAAGCTCCAAACTAGTGGCCACTGAAAGTTAACTGGTGACTAGTGGCCACTAAGGTTCATCCACGAGTGTTCCCTCGAAGCCCCTAGTGCCTAGTGTTTTTGTTTGACCAGGTCCCACTAAAGCCCAGTCCTGCCAACGCCCGAGAGACAAGCGGCCTTCCCGGGCTGCAGAGCGGCCCTTCTCGGGGCAAAGTTGCCGCTCTCGAAGAAGCCATACACCTTAAGCTATGCTTAAGAAAACTTGAATTTTCAGCCAGAGTCTCGAGTATTCTTAACGTTTCTATGTAAATCCTAAGATTTGAATCGAAATGTTGGGTTCTTATTCAAGTTCTGAGACTATGAATTTCTTAACCCATGACTTCTTAAGCATTTCGCAAGGTGTGCAAAAGTGAAGCCTCTTTGCGGGATGTGCGGTGCCCCATCTGATTCGAAAGTGGTGTTGATGGTCGCAGGCCAGAGAAGGAAAAGGCACCCGTACTGCGACTCTCCGCCCGTTTCTCCTTTTGGGGGCCTCCTCGGAGGCCCTCGCCGCTGCTTCTGGATCCTCCTCGAAACTCTGGTCAGAACGTACCCCAGGACAGGTACGGGGAGTAGCGGTGGTCTCCCCAGTAGGGGGTAGCAGGGGTGGGAGCAGGAGTGGACGGCTTTTTCGGCAGCGGGGCTCGAGGCTTCCCGGCGTCCTCGCGGGCCCTCGCGGCTCCTCCGGCATCGCTGTGCCCTCCGGCGGCTATGCGCCCTGCCGAGAGCATGCCGGGGGGCGGCGCCCGGAGGTCGTCCCCCGCGCGGCCACCCGAGACGCGAGCCACGGCCCGAGGGCCGGTCGACGAGGACCACTCAGGGGTCGGGAGCTTTGGGACGGGGGTCAGTGCAAACGGGGGTCAGCCAGAGCGCCCGATCTTGCAGGATCCTGCAGGGCCAGGGTCGCATTGACCCGGGTTAGGGGCGCAGGATCTTACAGGATGTTGCAGGATCCTTCGCATTGACCCGGGTTAGGGGCGCAGGATTTTGCAGGATTTTGCAGGATTCTGCGAGACTTGACTGACCCGCGTCTGGATCGACCCGGGTCAGAAGATCCCCGAAGGGGCAGCGTTTGGGCGGGTGTACGTAGGCTCAGGGGCCAATTCATCGATCTCCGATCGCCCACCCATCGCCGACGGCGATTTGGTGGTCCACCCTGCCCGGGAGCGTGCGGATTGGCTCGCCGATCTGTCGGCGGTGAGTCGCCGGCTCCAGCTCGGCGTGTCCGCCCTGAGGTGGTCCTCGATTTATCGCTGCCCCTCACGAGGGGGAAGCCGCCACGCAGCAGTCTTGCACTACCCCCAGGCGTCCAGCGTATCCTCAGTGTCTCTCCAACGTGACGTATTTGTTAGTGTTGTTCACAACAACCGCAGGACGCATTACAACAGATTCTCGGAAGAGTGTTTGTATTCAGTGGTTCTTTCTTGCTTTACAGGAAAAGAATTGATGGGCAACCCGAGGATGTGGTGTTTGGTCTTCGTTTTGAAAAGACAGCGCCCCGCGCTCTCCTCCCGCCTCCTTCCTCCCGCCTCCTCCTCCCATTCCTGCATATGCCCTCCGCGTGTCAACCATTTCGGCACACCCCTCACAAGGAGCGTGGCCCTACAGGGAGCTCCACCGAAGGCCCCAGTGGCAGGGTTCGCACGGCGGCCTCGGGCGATTTCGGCACGCCCCTCACGAGGATCATGGCCCAACAGGGAGGTCCACCGAAGGCCCCAGCGGCAGGGTTCGCACGGTAGCTTCGGGCCATTTCGGCGCACCCCTCACCAGGATCGTGGCCCCACAGGGAGCTTCACCGAAGTCCCCAGCGACAGGGTTCGCATCGAAGCCTCGGGCGATTTCGGCACACTCTTCACGAGGATCGTGGCCCCATTGGGAGCTTTGGACGAAGGCCCCAGTGGCAGCGCCCGCGTGCGCTCCCCGCTCATTTCTGCACACCCCACGCACGTCTCGGGGCTCCTATCCGCGTTGCCCCGACCTCCATCCTTCGCTCGGCACGCTACTTGTGATGAGAGGGGCACATCCTGCGATACTCGCAGCTGCAAGTTGGTGGATCTTTCGCCAAGTTGATGTTGGTGGCGCCCCGTGGCCGCCTAACGTAGTTTGCATCACAAGCCTTGCACCCCGTACATACACCGTACAGCGTGCACCGCGCAGCTTCCACCACGGAGCTTGCACCTCCTCGCGTGCGAAACACAGCGCGCACCACCTCCAAGCCTGCACCGCATCCACTGCACCACGCAGACTGCACGGCATGGCTTCACCACACAGCTTGCGCCACGCAGCTCACGCATCTGCAGCGCAATCGCTTAGATTAACATCTGAAGGAATTGGATGGCGATGCCGTGGCTTCGGCTGATGCCTGGCTGCTGGGCGACCTGGGGCGCCTCGTTGGCGCCCGCGCTGGGGGGGTGGGGGGGGGGGGCATGCCGGGGTGCACGCCCGTAGGCGTCTCGTGGGCGCGCATGGGCGCCCCATGCCCTAAGCGAGGAGCCTGGCTTATACAGCATGGCTCACACCGCACATCTTACACGGCACAGCTCAAACCGCATGGCGCACACCACGGAGCCTACGCCGCACAGCTTGTGCCACACAGCTTGCACCGCACAGGCCACGCCGCACTGGCTTCCACGACAGAGCTCGCACCGCATAGATGACACAACCTGGCTTGCACCACGGCCTACGCCACACAGCTTGCGCAAGATAGCTTGCACGCTCGATGTACTTCGCCGCGCAGCTTTCACATCAGGGCGCACACCACACAGGCGTTACCGCATAGCTTACACCTCCAAGCTGCCACCACACAACTGACGCAGCACGTGGGTTATGCCACGACTCTTGCCTCGAGCAGGTTACATACACCACAGAACCTGCACCGCATAGCTTGCCCTGCACAGGTTCGGCCTGCACACCGCAATGACCCACCTCGCTGTGCCCCACGCAGCAGTGGACCCCAGACAGCAGGTTCCGGCACCCCCGAGGTGCAGGCGGCGCGGCGCGATGCAGCGCAGAGCACCGAGCCAGGACACGCCCGCACGGGGCGCCGAGCCAGGCGACAGCACAGTGGAGACGCATGCCAAGAGACGCCCTGCTTGCCTCCAGGGTGCCCTTGGCCTCTTGGGGTTCGAAGGTTTTGCTCTGGAGAGCGGGGCGCTCCCGCGCGGAACTTCCATGGACGCCCTGGGGTCCCAGGGTTCTTGTGGTCGAGCTCCTGCTGTGGGGCGGCAGCCTTAGGGCACCGAGCGGGGTTGGCCGAGTGCGACACCGCGGGCCAGCTTTGCGCAGGCATGGCAAGACCCTCTGAGTGCAAGAATTGGGTTTGGAAAGCACATAAAAGGGAGTTCGTGTCTCAAGGATGCGCCTGCTTTCCGTTGCCTCGCGCGAGGCTTGTGAATCGAGTGTTGGGGTTGCGGCGACGGGGCTGATAACCGTGTGGCCACGGAAGGACGGCGGTATTGTCTTTCTTCTCGCAGTGAGATGTTGTATAAATTCGCGCGGGGAACCCTCGTGCTGTCTCCCGCCATGTGCCCCTCGAAGCCAACCCTTGTGGTCGCCACCTCGACGCAGATGTACTGTCAGAAACGTTGTTTGGCGTGTCGCGCCGCCGCTTTTGGCCCACAATGATTGGGCGCGACACGCAGACCACGGTTCAGCCTCCGAGCGTCAACATCCAGAGCTGTTCCCAGCCTCCCGCCGCGCGGAGCGGATTGACATGCTGTCCAGTTGCAACAGCAGTGTGTGTCGCCGAGGCTGCTGTCGCGACACGCCAAGCAAAGCTTTTTCATTCGAAGTAGAATTCGCTCCTGCCGAGCCTTCGCCCCCCATTCCTTGCAATCCGCTGGTCGCCCGCCCGCGCCTTCGGAGGTGGAGGAGCTCAAAGTCATCAGCGGGTACCCGTCGCAGCCCGGGTGCTACTTCCGCCAGCCCTCCAAGTGCCCCGCAAAGCCGATGTATTCGTCAATGTGGAGGCACGATACTTGGGCCGAGGAGCGATACCTTGACGAGGCAGGGTGCAGGGACCGTAAGGCCCAGGGTCCAGAAATTTTCCAGAGCCGCGCGTCGGGAGAGGGAGGAGTGATTGGGGGGGGGCAGGGACGGATGAGGATGGAAATGAGGAGGTGCTGGAGAAGAGCAGGAGAAGGAATAGGAAGAGGATAAGAAGGAAGGACGGAAGACAGAGGCGGAGGGGGCGGAGAGATGATGTTGCTGTATGGGATACTGATGATGATGATCATCATCATCATCATCATCAGCAGCAGCATCTTCATCAGGATCATGATGATGGTGATGTTGTTATTGATGTTGATGTTGATGCTGAGGCTGATGCTGATGCTGATGTTGGTGTGGATGCTGCTGACTGTAATGGTGATGATGATGACGACGATGGTGGTGACGATGATGGTGGTGATGATGATGATGGTTGTGATGACGATGCTGATGACGATACCGATGAGTAGTAGGATGAGAATAATAAGGGAAGGAGGGCGATGCTGATGCTGATGGTGATGATGATGACGCTGATGCTGATGGTGGCGCTGACGATGACGATGCCGATGTAGACGGCGATGGTGATGGTGTTGATGACGATGGTGATGATGGAGGTGCTGATGGTAATGCTGATGGTGATGGTGATGGTGTTGACAATGGTGATGGCGATGGTTGTTGTGATGCTGATGGTGGTGATGATGGTGATGCTGGCGCGAGTGAAGATGATGATCACGATAATGATGAGGTTGGTGATGATGATGCTGACCAGGAGAATTATGACGACGACGGTAATGATGATGACGATGATGGTGATGATGGCGTTGGTGATGTTGGTGGTGATGATGATGATGATCATCATCATGATCATGATCACCATGGCCATGATTTTGCTAAAGGTGAGGGTGAGGCAGGTGCAGGTACACAGGCCTCCAGTTCTACCTGAACACGGCCGCACCTGGGACAACGTGTCCCGCGTCCCTCCACTGGACCCCATCCCGGACCACAGGAGGAGTGTGCAAGACGAGCCATGGCAGGGGTGAGGGGGAGCCACTGACCGAGGCGGGTCGGTAGCCCCCACTCTAACCTGCGGGATTGGCTAGTCCTTCACCCTCGCCGCTGTTGTGCTGGGTCACGGGTCTTCGTGTGCTTGGACTTTCGTGGTCAAGGGGTAGGGTTTGGTGGAGGGGGGACACGGCTAACCCATGCCCCTCCGGGGGCGCCCCCTCTTGAGCCTTCGGTGGTGTTAGGTTCGTTGCTATTGTTTTGGGTCACTGGCCACTGGCACTTGCGAGCCTATCACTGGACACATTTGATTGTTCGGGGGCGGGAGTGTACAACCCACTTCGTCCAAACACCTATCAGGGGCGGTTGGGTCTCCGGACCTTTCCCCTGATGGTGGGCGGGGTGGCAGGACGGCGACGCCCTTGGTCTAGGCGCGCCGTCAAATGGGTGTGCACATGTCGTTCGGCGGTGGTTTCGGCCATGGTCGGGCGGGGTGTGCAGTCCCTGGGCGCCGGTCTCACTCGGCGGTGGTTTCGGCCATGGTCGGGCGGGGTGGGCGTCCTAAAACGACCCATCGAAACCAGAAGGTGGTAATAAGGGCCAACATAGATGGGAGCGCGGAGTGAACAAGATAGGGAAGCTATGAAGAGGGCGAGAGCTTGGTGACGGAATGCGAGGTCCATGAACACGAAGCGTCTGGGGACACGAGCGCCACACAACAAGTTTCGAATTTTGGCTGCGCTGCCCGTGTTGGTGTTTCTACACCGCACGCTGTCGATGGCGGGTTCCCCCGACCATCTGGGGGCGGCACAAGGAAGGGCTTGCCCCATCCATCTGCGCCAGGTCGCCGGTTTCCACCGAGTGGCCAGCCGCCCCCTGCCCCACGCGGCCGGGGAGAACCGTGTGGCGTGTTTTTGAGTGATTTTTTTTGTGGGTGATGTTTCCGTGAATCTCGTCTCTCGGGCGCTCTCTTTAGGACGAACGTCTGGATCGTCACGCTCCCCCCGCGGGTGGGGTCCCAGGGGGCGGGGTCTCCCCTTCGGGCCTCCTGGGGCCTGGACCCAGGGTGGAGCGTCATACAGCCTGGCAGTTCTGCGCCTCTTGGCGCGTCGGCCCCCCCAATAGGGGTCGGTATGACTAAATGCATCAAGTGAGGCCACTGTGCGTGGTGCTCACCGCTGTTGCGGCCACCTCCATGGGGGACCGGGTCGGGCGCACCCCTTTCTCGATGTGCCTCCGCTATTGTGTTGCGCGCCTCGGGCGGTCGTTGCGTGGGCTGGTGCGGGTTTTGTCGCGGGGCTGTACACGCGATCGAGACGCGACGGTCTTCCCTCTTCCCATGTTTCCCTCCCCCCCCCCTGCCACTCTCTGGTCGGGCCCCCCTCCCCCCCTCCCCTTCCCCCTCCTCGGGCCCCCTGGTTCTCGTCCTGGTTTCTTCGGTCTCCCTGGTTCCTCTTCTGGCCTCCTGGGCCCCTGCACCCCGCGTCCCCCCCCTGGAGGCAGACTGGAGAAGGGCGGCAGGGAGGCCAGCCGCTGTGCGCTTCCCCATCCTTCAGGTTGTACATAGAGGTTATACCGCCTGCTGGTCCGGGAGTCGCGCAGCGGCTACACCCCGGAGACGTGGGCGTGGACGTGGTGAGGGTGAGGGTGAGGGTGAGGGTGAGGGTGAGGGCGGTGGCGATTGAAGGTGACGGAGACGGTGATGATGCTGATGATGATGATGAGGAGGAGGAGGAGGAGGAGGAGGACCAGTGTAAACCCAAGAGTCATCAACGATGTTGGAATAAAGCCTCGCTCCAAGCTGTTTTTTTTTCGTGGGCCCCTATAACTGCTCATTTCCACTGAGGGAACTGCCCTGTTGGAAGACAGCCGTATGAAGGCCCTGAAGCATGCCAACACAGTGCTGTCGGGATTCCAACGCCACGGAAGAGCCTAACTGTTGCGTCTTGACGGTCCTGAATCGTGCCAGAATTCGATTCCCGGGACATCAACACCGCGAGCCAACGCAACTGTTAAACCTTCATAACCATGAATCCTTCCAAAACGCTATTCCTAGTACGCTAATCAGGGGAATCCGTGAAAACCTTACAACATGTGAAAACGAATGTGAGCGGCGCCAAGGCGAGAGCCAAATTTTGAAAAGCGACCCGCCCTCGATCCGCGAAGCTCTTGCAAGTATCTGAAACGAACGCGCGCGGCGCTAAGGCGAAAACCACAGTTCGAAAACTACATGCACCCCACCCGTGAAATTGCTGCCAACGTTTAAGCACGGTCATACATGGCGAGGAAGTCTCTGGCGAAACGTCCGGCCCGTCCTCAAAATTGTTGTCGCTTCGCGAATCCCCACCAGCCCATCCAGAAACGATGCCCAGAGGAATTGCCTCGATCAGAGAAGTGGGCAGCACACAGAGGAAGCCATTATGAGACATCTTGGGATATCTTGAGCCATCTTGGAGGTCATTTTGGGCTCTCCCAGACGCTCTTGGAGTCATCTTAATCCGTGCCCCCCCCCAAGAGGCCTCCATGTGGCTAAAACCTGTGTAGAATCAATGATTAGGCATTCTCGCCGAGGCCTCTTGGAGCATCTTGGGTGCATCTGGGGGGGCTCTTGGGGCCTCTTGGGGGTCTCTTGGGGGCCTCCGGGGGGCCTCTTGGGGGCCTCTTGGGGCCATTTTGGGGCCATCTTGGGACCTCTTGGGGCTTCCTGGGCGCTTCTTGGGGCCATCTTGGAAGAGATCGATCAAACAAGAGGGGGGGTTCAATTAGCGCCCCCCCTCGGAAGCCCCGAAGAGGCCAAAATCGTCCCAAAACCTAAGGAAAATCAATGATTTTTGCTTTCTCGCCTTTTCGCTTCCGGACGCTCTAACTACCCGCGGCCCCCCCCGTCCAGGTCCAGGGGAGGGGGTAGGGGGAAGGGTAAACCCCTCCCCAAGGGGGAAGAGGGAGGGGTGGAAGAGGATCTGTTCTAGACCACCTACGCCCAGAGGGCTGGTGGGATTTGCCTCGGGGTGTGACAGGGAGAAGGTGTATACAGATGTATATAGATATAAGGACAAGGAGTGTAGGAGGACGAGGAGGAGACGGAGGAGGGCGAGGAGGCGGACGAAAAGGATGGGTAGCGGTAAGGATCGGGGGGGGATATGGAGGAGAAGCAGACGGAGGGCGGGCATGGGAAGAGGGAGGCCCCCCTGGCCCTGCCCGGGCCCTCAGCCCCGCCAAGGGCTACTGGGACAGATACTGCGAAGCCGGGGACACGAAGATGGTGCACATCAGTGCCGAGGACGTTGGCGCGCCGGTTCTCCAGGGGCCCAATACAGTCGGGGCCCTGAAGAACGAACCCTTTTCGTTGGGGAGGGGCTCCGTGTTCCTTGATTGCTTCACAGTTTGCCTTGGGTTTTCCTGTGGTTTTCGATGGGAAATCGGAGTTTAACTTGTGGGAAAAAGGAGCCCCGTTCCTTATTTATCGTTCTTTAGGCCAACGCCCCGACTGTACCCGCTCCGACGCCGGCATCGTCAGCGGAACCCCCTCGCGGGCCAGGCATTTCTCACACTACCGAGGCGCTGAAATTAGTGACCACGTTGGGCCGGCTCATGAGGGGCCCTGGTTTTCGGGCCAGGAGGAGGAGGAGGAGGAGGAGGAGGAGGAGGAGGAGGAGGAGGAGGAGGAGGAGGAGGAGGAGGCGGAGGAGGAGGAGGAGGAGGGAGGAGGAGGAGGGCGGAGGGGAGGAGGGGGAGGAGGGGGAGGAGGGGGAGGAGGGGAGGGAGGGGGAGGAGGAGGAGGAGGGAGGAGGAGCGAGAGGAGCGAGGAGCGAGGAGCGAGGAGACGAGGAGGAGCGACGAGGAGCGAGCGAGGAGCGAGGAGGAGGAGGAGGAGGAGGAGGAGGAGGAGGGGAGGAGGAGGAGGAGGAGGAGGAGGAGGAGGAGGAGGGAGGAGGAGGAGGAGGAGGAGGAGGAGGAGCGAGGAGGAGCAAGGAGCGAAGAGGAGCGAAGAGGAGCGGCGAGGAGCGAGGAGCGAGGAGCGAGCAGGAGGAGGAGGAGGAGGAGGTGGAGGAGGAGGAGGGGGGGCAGGAAGCCTCTTCGTGGCCGAGGCCCGCTGTGGCCAAGAGCCGCCCGCGGTGCCCCCGTCCAGCGCTCCTCGTAGCAGCACGCTCACTGCACCTCCACATGCTCGATTGATTGGTTTTTCAATCTCGGTGTCTTCTCGCCTTTTTCTGTCGGTCCTGGGGGGCTCCTTTCGGGTCCTGGGGCTATCATACATAGATCCGGGATGGAACATCGCCCTCGGGGAGGCGGCCGGGAGCTACGGGGCCGCAGATAAAGCAAAATGCATCCTGGGATGGTTGGGTATATCTCTTTCTGGCCCCTTTGTCCTACAGCTGCTCAGGCGTGCCCAGCCCCAGCATCAGGTACACGCGCGTAGACACAGTGTGCAGTGCTCCCTCTGCTCTCCTTCCCCTGCCGCTGCCCGTCCCCTTCATCTCTGGGGGCAGACGTCACACTGGGGAGGCGATGTCCCAGAAGCCGGAGGAGGAGGAGGAGGAGGAGGAGGAGGAGGAGGAGGAGGACGGGGAAGCCCAAGAGTCATCAGCGGTGTTGGAATCAACCCTCGTTCCAAGCTCTGTCTTCATAGGCCCCCACAAGGGTTCATTTCCACTGAGGGAACTGCCTCGTTGGGAGAGAACCGTCTGAGGACCCCGAAACGTGCCAAAGCCGAACTATGTGGATTCCACCGCCATGAATCAACATGACTGCGTTTTGACGATCCGGATTCGTGCCAAAACCTTATTCTTGGGACTTCAAGACCGCGAATCAGCGCATTGCGCCTCACAATCTTGAGCTTTTCCAAAACACCATGTCTGGCACGTTGACCATGGGAACCCGTGAGACTCTTGCAAATGTTTAGCACGAGTGCTCGCGGCGCTAAGGCGAGAGCCACAGTTTGAAAAGGAGCCGCCCTCGATCCGTGAAGCTCTTCCAACGTTTTACAATGCCTGCGCGCGGCGTTAAGGCGAGAGCTACATGTTGAAAGAGGCCGCATTCAATCCGTGAAAATCTTGCAAATGTTAAAGCACATGTGCGCGGCGCTAAGGCGAGAGCCACATGTTGAAAAGCACCCGACCTCAATCCGTAAAGCCTTTACAACCTTAAAAATGGAACGTGCGCGGCGCTGATGCGAGAGCACACTTTGAATACCGCACGCCCTCAACCCGTCAAGTTCTTGCAAACGCGTAGAACGAAGGTACGTAGCGCTAAGGCCATCGCCACAATCTGAAATCCATTCGCTCCCAACCCGCGAAACTTCTGCAGTTAAAGACCCTTGGGCGCGGCGCAAAGACGACAGCTTCATGTTGAAAACCACCTGCCCTCCATCTGCAAAGTTGATGGACATGTTTAAGCTTCAGGGTCATGAGTGGTGAGGATGTCTCAGGCGAAACGCCCGGCCCGCGCTTCCGACAGGTTTCGGGGCGCGACAGGGAGGAGTTTTTGGTTCCATAAGGAAAAGGAGTGGAGGAGTAAGAGGCGGAGGAGACGGAGGAGGAGGAGGAGGAGGAGGAGGAGGAGGAGGAGGAGGAAGAAGAGGGGGTGGAGGTAGAGGCGGAGGAGGCGGAAGAGACTCTGAGGAGGAGGAGGAGGCGGAGGAGGCGGACGAGGGGGAGGGGCAGAGGAGGAGGAGGAGGAGGAGGAGGAGGAGGAGGAGGCGGAGGAGGAGGAGGAGGAGGAGGAGGAAGAGGGGGGCGGGGAGGTGGACCGCCACCACGGCGCCCGACCACCAGCCCACCCAGCCCGATCTCCACAGTGACCATGACCCCGCCAGCACGGCAACCACGTCCGCCGTCGGCCCGACCACCACGACCCACACGATGACCACCACGCCCGCCAGCGCGACCACCCCGACCACCCCCGCCCCGCGCTCCGCATTCCCTCTCCCTCTGCCGGGCAGTCTGGCGTCGGTGCTGCATCATGTAGTTAGGCATAAACAGAGGCCACGAGCGCTATGAGGCCAGTCCTCGAGCTGGCTGTGTCCAGCAGGTGGCTGACCAGGGCCCCTGGACCATAACCCCAACGCCCGGGGGTCTCCCTTACTGACGGGGGAGGAGGAGAAGGAGGAGGAGAAAGAGGAGGAGGAGGAGGAGGAGGAGGAAGAAGAGGAAGAGGAGGAGGGAGCAGGAGTAGGAGACGGAGGAGGAGGAGCAGGAGGAAGAGGAGAGGGAAGGGGAGGAAGAGGAGGGAGGAGGAGGAGGTGAGGAGGAGGAGGAGGAGGAGGGAGGGAAGGAGGAGGGAGGAGGAGGAGGAAGGAGGGAGGAGGAGGGAGAAGGAGGAGGATCTGAGGGGGAGGAGGGAGGAGAAGGAGGAGGAGCGAGGAGGAGGAGGAGGAGGAGGAGGAGGAGGAGGGAGGAGGAGGAGGAGGAGGGTATCGACATTCATTCCCCATGGCGCTCCGCCCCTCCCCGCGGATGGCAGGAGCCCGTCGTCGGCCGCTCCTGCTCTCGACCCCCCCCCAGGCTCCCCAGCACGGCGCGGAGTCGACGGCGGAGGTCTCTACGCCGACGGCACAGCCCAGCCAGGACCTGGCTCCGGCTGCACGCACGAGTGATCCTTCGCAGGAGGGACCTCTAGCGCGCGGTTTTCGGGTGGCGCTTCGGGACCAAACCCAAGCACGCTGGCCACTCCTGTCGCGCCTCACGCAACGGCTGGCGGGCCGCGCACCAAAGGCCCCTCGTGCCTAGGGTCGCTCTCACGTGCAGCCGACGGCTACACGTATCGAGCCACAAACAACGGCATAAACATAGATGACAGTTTCCTTCAACGCTGGGCACCCCTGACGGCGCCTCCCGCGGCGCCTCCAGCGCCGCCCCTGGCGCGCTCCGCGCGCCAGGCAGGGAAGTGCAGCGCCGGTCCCGAGCATCTGCGCAGAGCTCCAGCAGCTGATGCGCATGCCGTGTTTGTGGCTCCTCCAGCGTAAAGGGGAGAGCCCCTCGCCGGAGGGGCCTCTGGCGCGCGCGCGGGGCCGTCGCGGGGTCACGGGGAGGCCGAGCGCAAGCTTGCCCAAGAGGGGGGTGACGGCCAGGAGGGCTGGATACCATATCTGGGGGCCATGCTATCTCCCCAGATGCCGCGGCCCCCTCTTATATATATATATATATATATATATATATATATATATATATATATATATATATATATCAGTGTGTCCCCTCGCCCCCGCGGGCCGCGCACAGGCCTCCTGCCATGATTTGCGAGCCCGCCTCGTGCACACCCCCTTCTTGGACGCTCCTCATGTCAGGCCGCCGTGCTGTCGCACTGCACGCAGCCAGCGGCAAACCGCGCGCCAGCGGTCGCTCTTGCGCAGGGCCACTCGTGCGTACACCCGACAGGATCTTGCGCTTCCACCCCATCTCGCCTCGAAGGTCCGGCGGTGCAGAGGGGAGGATCGAGGCTCCAGGCTCGAGGATGAAGGTGTTGTTGCGTATGCATCCATATTTACAGATGTGCATACAATGCTTGGGGACCCCCGGGAGGCTTCTCCCCGACACGACTAGATTCCCCTCGATGGTCTGCTCAGCACGCACCCCTGGGCATGCCTTGGGCCCCAGCTTTTTAAGTCGTGAAGCCAAACGGGTCCTGGAGGAAAGGGGTCATGGCGGCCTCTTCCCGCTGTCGGGCTCACCGGATGGCTCTTTCACTGGAGAAGCTGATCTTCGGGGAAGCCGCGGTGTCCGGGACCCGTACCCACCTGGACCCGCGGCCGAGGAGACGCAATTTTGTCAGGAGGGAAACAAAACACACAGACACAATTAATCGACGTTCTCCAGAAAAATATAAGAACATATGGGAAGTGGGGGGGAGACAAAAACCCAGAAAATATGGGAAAATATTGGGAATCCTTTTATTTGTGTGTTGTGTGTCCCAGGGCCCCTTCAACATGCATCAAGGCGATGGGAGATTGCCCCGAGTCCAGCGTCCATGCAAAGTCGGCGAGCTCCGTCGCCAGAGCACGCCGCGAGGGCTTCCTGTTTCGGGGGCGCTGTCCCCGATCCGTGGACCTGGCGCCTACACGCCAGACCCTAGTGGGCCCCGGAAACGGCAGGGCCGTTTTTTCACCGTTTCCAAAAACAACTCCTTGAAAATGGAAACGGCAAAAAAAAGGGCGACCGGAAACGGCAACAAAAACGGCTCCGGGATTGGAACCGGAGCCGGACCCGGTCAAAAAACGGCGACGGAACTGGTAAAAAAACGGCGTCGAAAACGGAACCGGTAACAAAACGGCCTTGTCGTTTCCAGGGCCCACTAAGGCACGGGAGGCCTCAGACCCTGGAGGGCTCCTCATCAGATGCGGGCGGCGGTGATGTCAACTGCCGATCCGCGATTGGAGTTCCACTGGCTTCGAGACCTTGGGTTCCTTATCGAAGGTTTCCTTTATCGAAGGTTTCCTGATCGGGGGGACTGCATACTACCCATTGTGGGATCACGCTCTGCGGCGTGACGGCGAGGCACTCGTGACCTGCCAGCTCTCGAGTGTGGTATACGTACTGCTCACGAGCGGTTGGATGTTTCACGAAGTGGTCCTCTATGCTGCCTTATATATATATATATATACATAAATATATATATATATATATATATAACAAACAAAAAAACTCATCCAATGCCCCCACCGCACGTCGGCCACGCGCAGCAGGGGGGGTCGGGGGAGGCGCGCGGGGGACACATTTACAACCAGAGCGACACGTTCCAACCGAGATGTGGGGCACGCTACCACCGGCACGGGTGTTCCCAGACGTATGGGGCCACATGCGAACCCTACCCCTACCCCCCACCGGTTTCTGAGGGGGAGGGCGGGGTTCACTTCGTGTGGGAGCTCCCGAGCGAAGTGAACCCGAGCGAAATGAACCCCACCCTCCCCCTCAGAAATCGTTGGGGGTAGGGGTAGGGTTCGCATGTGGCCTCCTAAGACGGGCACTTCACGACCGGGCAGGCGAGGTTACCACCCGACAATGAAACGCACAGCAGCGACAAACGCGTATCGATGCTCCAACTAGCCGTGGATCCACGCAAGGGAGACAACCCGCTATCTGAAGCGTGTTAGGTGTAAAGTGCCTCGCCTGAAGCAAGAATCTGTAGAGCAGCGGATTCCTTGAGATATTCCATAGGAATTATATTGAGTCTTGCTGGTGCACTTTCGACTGATCCTATTGGCATAAGACGAACACATTGGAATCCAATCGGGTTCGTTGTTCTGGACCCTAGTGGTGCCCTATTGGCATCCAATAGGGGCGTTGCCTAGTGAAGCCCTTGTGGTGTCCTTCCTGCTTATGGAAGCCGAGTGGAAACCGATGACAATCGGGGAACATCCCTAGGGGAAGGCTGCGGAATGCGCATTGAGACTATGTTGAAGCCCGATGGGGATCTGATTGGAATCCCCTTGGGACGGTGGTGGCGAGCGAATCGGAAGGAATCCTTCCTTTTCGATTCGCACGGGGATACGGTTGAGACCCCCTCGGGATCCAGTCTCGATCCTACAAGAGTCTTTCATGCGGGAGCCGTGATGTAAACCGATTGGCGTCCAGGAGGGCGCCCGCGAGAGGGTTCCTCGAGCCCGACCGCGCGTCGCGGCCCCCGGCCAGAGTCTGAAGAAGCGCCCGTGAGCTTCTGCGGTGCGCTCAGAAGCCTCAGCAACCTCTGCAGACCGCCCAGGAGCATCAGGAACCATTGCAAAGCGCTCAGAAGAATCAGGAGCTTCTGCAGAGCGCGCAGGCGCCCCAAAGCTCCAGAAGCGTTTACGGAGTGGTCAGGAGCCTTATAAGCTTTTGCAGAGCGTTCACAAGCTGTAGAAGCCTCGGCAGAGCGCTCGGGCGTTCGGAAGCATCAGCCACCTATTGCAGAGCGCTCAGAGATTCAGAACATTCTGCAGAGCGCACAGGCGTTCAGAAGTTTCAGAAGCTCCAGAAGCTTCTGCAAAGCGTTCTGGCGCCGAGAAGCATCATAAGCTCCTGCAGAGCGCTGAGGCGCTTCAGACACTTCACAAGTTCTGCAGAGCGTTCAGAAGCAGCAGAACCCTTTTGCAGAGCCCAGAAGATTAAGGACCTTCTGCAAAGCGCTCAGGCGCTCAGAAGCTTCAGAAACCAGTGCAGAGTGCTCACGCGTTCAGCAGCATCATGAGCTTCTGCAGAGCGCCCAGGCGTTTAAAAAATGCCAAATGTTTCTGCAGGGCGCTCAGGGGCCAAGAGGCATCACAAACCTTTTGCAGAGAGCTCAGAAGACCCAGGAGCTGCTGCAGAGCGCACAGGCGCTCAGGAGCATCAGAAGCCAGCGCATAGCGCTTACGCGTTCAAAACCTCATAAGCTTCTGCAGGGCGCCCAGAAGCTTCAGAAGCCTTTGCAGGGAGCTCAGGAGCCCAGAAGCAGTAGAAACCGATGCACAGCTCTCAGAAGACTCGGGAGTTTCTGCACAGCGCTAAGCCTCTTCAGACCGCTCAGGCGCTCGGAAGCATCCTAAGCTTTTGCATAGCGCTCAGGCGCTCAGAAGTTTCAGAGGCCCTTGCAGAGCGCTCAGGAGACCAGTAGCATCATGAACCTGTGGAAGTTCAGAAGACTCAGGAGCTTCTGCAGAGCGCACAGGCGCTCAGAAACCTCAGAAGCCAATGCATAGCGCTCAGGCGCTCAGAAGTCCAGAAGCTTCTACAGAGCTCTCAGGCGCTCAGAAGCGTCTGAAGCCTCTGCAGAGATGCGAAGACTTCTGCTCGCTGGTTGTAAAGTGGCCGTTCTGGTCGTAAAAGGGCCCCGTCTGGGTTGAACAGTTGTCGTTCTGGTTTTCAAGTGGTCTGTTTGGGTTGCCAAGTGGTAGTTCTCAAAGGCCAACCATATGATTTGACCCTTTGCCGGTTGCAAAGTGTCCCGTCGCGGCTGCAAGGTCTGATCCTGTTTGTAAGAAAAAACCGAATCTCGCATTGGGGGAGGGGGAAAGGCTTCTTTTGGAAGGAGGCTGCTTCTCAAACGGCACGGGCCTTGTCTGTAGATTGTAGATGCAGGGCCCGCGCCTTCTGAGAAGCAGCCTCCTTCTATGAACTCTTCCCCTCTTCCCCTTCCCCCGCCGGCGCGCGCCACCAACGCGCGGCCCTCCTTTTGCCGTTCCCCTCCTCTCCGTGGGCTCCGGGGCCCGTGCCAGTGCCCAAAACAATTCGGATGGGATGGGCCGCGCGGGCGTCGCGGGGGCAGGGCAGCCATGCAGGCCCTCGTTACCCCCCGCCCGCCCCACGCGCCCCCTGGCGGGAGGGGGCAGCAATCGGAGGAGAGGGGGAGAGGGGGAGGAAGGGCTCGGATTCGCGTCGTCGCAGACGGCCGCGGTGGGGGCTTTGGTTCAGGAGCGCGCGCGGGGGGCCCCAGACCCTGGAGGGCTCCTCATCTGATGCGGGCGGCGGCGATGTCAACTGCCGATCCGCGATTGGAGTTCCTTTGGCTTCGAGACCCTGGATTCCTTATCGAAGGTTTTCCTTATCGAAGGTTTCCTTACCGGGGGACTGCATACTACCCATTGTGGGATCACGCTCTGCGGCGTGACGGCGAGGCACTAGTGACCTGTCAGCTCTCGAGTGTCGTACGCGCGCTTCTCACGAGCGGGTGGATGTTTCGCGAAGTGGTCCATTATGCTGCCTATATATATATGTGTGTTTATATTGTAAGCAACAAAAACACATACAATGCCCCCACCGCACGTCGGCCACGCGCAGAAGGGGGGTCGGGGGAGGCGCGCGGGGGGCACATTTACAACCAGAGCGACACGTTCCAACCGAGATGCGGGGCACGCTACCACCGGCACGGGTGTTCCCAGACGTTTGGGGCCACATGCGAACCCTACCCCTGCCCGCCCGCCGACTTCTGAGGGGGAGGGCGGGGTTCACTTCGCGTGGGAGCTCCCGAGCGAAGTGAGCCCCACCCTCCCCCTCAGAAAATCGTTGGGGGTAGGGGTTGGGTTCGCACGTGGCCCCCTAAGGCGGGCACTTCGCGACCGGGCAGGCGAGGTTACCACCCGACAATGAAACGCACAGCAGCGACAAACGCGTTTCGATGCTCGAACTAGCCGTGGATCCACGCAAGGGAGACAACCCGCTATCTGAAGCGCGTTAGGTGTAAAGTGCCTCGCCTGAAGCAAGAATGCGTAGAGCAGCGGATTCCTTGATATTCCATAGTAATTTTATTGAGTCTTGCTGGTGCACTTTCGACTGATCCTATTGGCATAAGACGAACACAATGGAATCCAATCGGGTTCGTTGTTCTGGAGCCTAGTGGTGTCCTATTGGAATCCAATAGGGGCGTTGCCTAGTGAAGCCCTTGTGGTGTTCTTCCTGCTTATGGAAGCCGAGTGGAAACCGATGACAATCGGGGAACATCCCTAGGGGAAGGCTGCGGG